CTTGCAGGGACAGGGCCGAGGTGCGCCCGCAACATTGGCGGCGGCGGCGGCGACAGCGGCTGTGGCGGCTGCGGCGACAGCGGCTGTGGCGGCTGCGGCGACAGCGGCTGTGGCGGCTGCGGCGGCTGCTGTCTCGGCTGCGGCGGCGGCGGCTGCGGCCTCGGGAGTGGCAGCGGCGGCGGCAACGGCGGCGGCGGTCGGCAGCAGAGGCGGCTGCAGTCGGCAGCGGCGGTGGCTGCAGCGATAGAGGTGGCCGCTGCTGCTGCTGGGACCGGGGAGGGGCCGCGTAGGGCGGCGACGGGGCCGCGAAGGGGCCACGAGGGGCCGAGAAGAGCGGGGACGGGGCCGCAACGGGCGGCGACGGGGCCGTGAAGGGCGGCGACGGGGCCGCAACGGGCGGCGACGGGGCCGCGAAGGGCAGCGACGGGGCCGCGAAGGGCGACGGCGGAGCCGCTAGGGGCGGCGACGGGGCCGTGAAGGGCGGTGACGGGGCCGTAACGGGCGGCAACGGGGCCGCGAGGGGCGGAAACAGAGCTGCGAGGGGCGGCGACGGGGCCGTTAGGGGCGGCGACGGGGCCGCGAAGGGTGGCGACGGGGCCGCTAGGGGTGGCGACGCGGCCGCGAGGGGCGGCGACGGGCCGCGAAGGGCGGCGACGGGGCCGCTAGGGGTGGCGCAAGGGGCCGTGAGAGGGGCCTCTAGGAGGGCGCGACGGGCCGCTAAGGGCAGGGGACGCGACGAGAGGGCGGCCCACGGGGCGTGCCTTGGGCAGGGGCGACTCGCGCTCCGGTCAGAAAAAAATAAAATAAAATCAATTTTCAGTGGTGGGCCCTAGGAAGTGTTCCCACTAGGGAACCTGCTCTATACCATGTGAAGAAATGAGGAATGAATGCACTTGCAAACAGGTGGGTACAAGTAGGAAAACCTAAAAGTGTTGTACCCTATATTGTCTACCCGACTACAGCCTACACAGACTATAGCATATAAGTTTGACATAAAACGGTTATTGACTATATCTCTTCGTATTCCTTGTACTCTTATAAAAGCCTATATCTCTTTGTTTCAATCAATCTACTTTGCCCTCACATACCAGCGCAAGGTGGTTCACAAACTTCTCATTAAACGCTTCCGCTATTACATTGTCCTACTCAGAATTTAGTCCTGCAAAGATCCTAAGGGCTTTTCTCAGCCCAACAGCTGGCACCTGGCGTGCATCGCATCATGGTCACACATGCACACACCTTTTCGTGTTGGGGTAGACAGTCCCAATTCTCTCAGGTCGAAAGATCTTCAAGCCCGGCTTGCCCTTGGAGTTCCGAGCGTTGTGAAACAAAACGCTTGCGCACAAGCCGGTGCTATACCCGTTGAGAACTGACGACGAGTTCCACTCGAGGGTGATTTTAACATGCACGTTGGGCTTCCTGAGCTGGGGGTTGAGTGCGGTGCTGGAGGCCACGTCGCTGCACGCTGTGCCACTGGCTCGCGTTGTCGGCAGCACCAAGGAAACGAACCAAAAGACCTCGTGGGCTGGGCTCGTCTGCTGCACCCGCACTGCCGTCCGCAGCATGGCATCTGAGCAGCTAGCTGCCGTGGCGATGGATGGTGCGTTGGTTGGCGGCGCCATATCGTGGCAGGAAGTGCGTTGATGGTTGTGGTGGTGATGTTGTGGGCCGACGCCGCGCCATCCAGTTGGGGAAGCGAGAGGGGAAGGTAGCGCAAAGTAAGCCAAGAGGGGGTTTGGGGAGCGGAAGTTAGTGCGGATGCGGGCATGGATGGATGAGGGCATGGTTGGATGAGGGCATGGTTGGATGAGGGCATGGTTGGATGAGGGCATGGTTGGATGAGGGCATGGTTGGATGGGGCATGGTTGGATGAGGGCATGGTTCAGGGCATGGAAGCGCTGGCTCTCAGGGCTGCTCTAGGGGCTCAGATGTATGAATCTATTGTGTGACTATGTGATAAAGGTGGGTGCCGCAGAAGAGAGTATGGAGTGCAGCTCACCAACGCAATGGTCCTCCTTTTTTATGTAACCGGGGAAACACTTGCAGATCCCTTTTCCATGTTTTGGAGTGCAAATCGAGTTTTTTGGGCACGTCGTGACTGGCGCGCACGGGTCTGAATCTGAAGTACAACGCTTGGGTGCCATAGTTGGTACTCACTAGCAACACCAACAGCAGCTGCGCTGGTGTGGGTTGCGAAGAAGCTGATTGCGACGAGACCCGCGAAGAGTGCGGTGAGCCCACAGAGGCCGGGCATGCGCACGTAGCTCTTCATCGCGTCGGCAGAGGAGACGGGGAGTCAGCGACCACGGCGGGAGAGGAGACGGGGAGTCAGCGACCACAGCGGGAGAGGAGACGGGGAGTCAGCGACCACGGCGGGATGGCGAAACGTGTCAACTTCTTTGCAAGGCTTGAACCGCCGATAGCACTCACGTCGCTGGTAGTCGCGACGAGGTGAAACGGGTGCGACCTCGAAGGTGCGACATAAGGGAGTACTACTATCAGTTGATAAGACGGAGAGGCACGCTATCAGCGAGGGGCGGTGTGAGAGCAAGGGCAATCGAGTTGTGACTGGGCCTCAGAAGCGGGCATCGATTTATGTGCAAAGAGTGAGTGGTCAATTGCTCTCGCAAGCGGCGTTGCACACTCTCGGATAATGGCAAAACACGTTCCATCGCGGGGAACGCGAAAGGAGTCGCGGATGAGGGCACGGCATGGCGGGAGGGACGCATGAAAGCGCTGGGTTTGGCGCGGCCCCAGCGTGGTCAAGCGTTGATTGCCACTGGCAATAAGACCGAGGCAATAAGACCAAGGCAATAAGACCGAGGCAATAACACTGAGGCAATAAGACCGAGGCAATAAGACCGAGGCGGAACTCAAACTCTGCGGCGTGGCGGAAAGAAAAAAAGCTCCCGCCTCCAATGTTGCTAGTAGTGCATTTCGCGCAAACCGCATGGGATTTGCGCGACTTCGGCAAGAGAGACATTGGCGTGACGACCGCGTTACTACCTTCTGATCTGACTTGGACTCAAGGATGTGTAACGCGTTCCGTTCCTTTGTGGGAAGGTGGGGCGTGCGGAGCGAGATGGACGCAAAGCGTCCTGCGTAAAGAGGGCGCAGGGGGTTGGAGGTGAGGGCAATTTTCGTCATGTTGGAACTGCAGGACTTGCGGGAGTGCTTCGCTGGATGCTTGGGTGGAACGTGTTACACTCATAACAGGAAGGTACGGAGCTTCATCGTCGGCATGTCCGTCCTACCCTGCACATTTGCAATTGGAAATGCCGAAGCTGAACGCGATTGTACGCTGTCTGTCGGAATTTCCATTGCAGGGAACGTGTTCGTCTGCCATGTGATGTTCTCCCTTCCGCAAGTCCTGTAGTTGATGAAAGGTCCGCCGTGTGCACAAGCGCACATGCAGCACTGGCGCAAGCTTTTCTCCTTTGCGCACCACCGCGAGTCAGATTCCCCTATCATAGCTTACAGCTTCACAAATTGTCTCGCTTGCTTCGTTTCTCAAAAGAACCGCACTGGCGAAAACGATTGCTGTGTGAAGGGTCGCACTGTCTTTTGCCCAGCTGGTGCAGTGTAGCGCAAAGGATCTCGGATCTGGTAACTTTGACAAAAGATTTTGCACTTATCATTCCACGTCCCATGTCAAGGGACTTCGACACCACCATGTTTCACAAACTCAACTCCCAGCCCAACCAATCTCTCAACCCTTGAACTCTGACAACCACCGCGAGATTCCTCACTTTCACCGGTCCCGACGCTTTCTGAAACGGACTCGCGTCCCTCCCGCCATCGCCGCTTCTGGCGTCACTTCTCTCCCGATCCTCCAATCGGTTCCTCCCTATCGCGTTCCTCCCTACCATGTTCCTCCCCTTGCGGCCATGGCGGGAATAGCTAGTTGAACACCCCCCGCTGATTGCTGGCCGTTGCCCCACACGAGAGATTAGCTTCCCACGGCAGAGGCCGCATGGGGTCGAGCAACCCCAAGGCAAACGTTGCTAGGCTTGGCGATCCGCCTGAGCTCACCCCTTGCTGCGCACGGCCGCTGCGCGGGCCTTTTTTCGCAATATCCACCCGAGTTGAATCATCATCCACCCAAGATCTGAATTATCATCCACCCGAGAGTTATCCACCGCTCAGCACATATATCGAAGCCCGTCGCTCTTCCTCTCACACAGCTTCCTCTCGCACAGCTTCCTCTCGCACAGCTTCCTCTCGCACAGCTTCCTCTCGCACAGCTTCCTCTTGCACAGCTTCCTCTCGCACAGCTTCCTCTCGCACAGCTTTCTCTCGCACAACTTCCTCTCGCACAGCTTCCTCTCGCACAGCTTCTCACTGGCATTGCGTCTCCTCTCTAAGTCGCACCTTCGAGATCCCTCCCATTCTCATCTGCGCGCGCTTGCAAGCTGCGGTAATTGCCGTCGCGACAAGCGCCATCGACGTGGGTCGCGGCACGGCACGGCAACTCGGACGTGACAGCTAGCTATTCGCAGTAGCGTGTGATCGCTGATTACCGTTTTCGCGTCTCCCCGTTTTCCCCGGCGACCGTCTCCTCTCCCGTTGCGCGATGGAGCGCTGCGCGCTCTTGTCCGGCCTGTGTGGCTTCGCCGCACTCGTCGCGGGTCTCGTCGCCATCAGCTTCCTCGCGACCCACGCCAGCGCCGCTGATGCTGGTGAGTACTGACTGCTCGTGCTTCCCACTCTCTTCACCCTTCATGCCTATGACCGTCGTATTTCTTGCCCCTTAGATCCTTCATGCGTCTCTACCCCTGTTTCTCACGCGGCATCTGATTTACTATGTGCAGGCTGGTGAGCAACTGCAAGGACGCAACTTATGACCCTTTTTTTTCTTTCTTTCAACCCCCCTCGCCCCGCTGTCTTTTGTTCCAAACGTGCGTGAATCCGCCCAGCAGATGCGTGTGCCAGCTATGAGTGCGGGTCCAGTGCTCACTACACTCAGTATCGTGATGGCACTCCTTCCTGCGCATGCAACGATGGCAAAGGTCACTACAACTAAACCGACAAGACGTGCTTCAGTGAGTGATGGTGGCGAGCGAGTGAGTGCAGATGAAAGGGTGAGTGCAGATGAGAGAGTGAGTGCAGATGAGAGAGTGAGTGCAGATGAGCGAGTGAGTGCAGATGAGCGAGTGAGTGCAGATGAGCGAGTGAGTGCAGATGAGCGAGTGAGTGCAGATGAGCGAGTGAGTGCAGATGAGCGAGTGAGTGCAGATGAGCGAGTGAGTGCAAATGAGCGAGTGAGTGCAGATGAGCGAGTGAGTGCAGATGAGCGAGTGAGTGCAGATGAGCGAGTGAGTGCAAATGAGCGAGTGAGTGCAGATGAGCGAGTGAGTGCAGATGAGCGAGTGAGTGCAGATGAGCGAGTGAGTGCAAATGAGCGAGTGAGTGCAGATGAGCGAGTGAGTTCAAGTGAGTGCAGATGAGCGAGTGAGTGCAAATGAGCGAGTGAGTGCAGATGAGCGAGTGAGTGCAGATGAGCGAGTGAGTGCGGATGAGCGAGTGAGTGCAGATGAGTGAGTGAGTGCAGATTAGTGAGTGAGTGCAGATGAGCAAGTGAGTGCAGATGAGCGAGTGAGTGCAGATGAGCGAGTGAGTGCAGATGAGCGAGTGAGTGCAGATGAGCGAGTGAGTGCAGATGAGCGAGTGAGTGCAGATGAGCGAGTGAGTGCAGATGAGCGAGTGAGTGCAGATGAGCGAGTGAGTGCAGATGAGCGAATGAGTGCAGATAAGCGAGTGAGTGCAGATGAGCGAGTGAGTGCAGATGAGCGAGTGAGTGCAGATGAGCGAGTGAGTGCAGATGAGCGAGTGAGCGGTGGCGAGCGGTGGTTAAATATCATAAACAGTGACCTGTGCTCTCACGCATTTCAATACAAGCACCTCTTAGTCAGGCTCACCTGTTGCTGCTCAATCCGGTCATTTTCTTCTTTCTTAGTAACCTCCTGTCAAACTCATATGCTTTAGTCTGTGTAGGCTGTAGTGGGGTAGACAATATGGGGTACAACACTTTTAGGTTTTCCTACTTGTACCCACCTGCTTGCTAGTTCATTCATTCCTCATTTCTTCACATGGTATAGAGCAGGTTCCCTAGTGGGAACGCTTCCTAGGGCCCACCACTGAAATCGATTTTTTTTTTTTTTCTGACCGGAGCGCGAGTTGCCCCTGCCCGAGGCGCGCCCAGTGGGTCGCCCTCTCGTCGCGTCCCCTGCCCTTAACGGCCTTTCGCGCCCTCCTAGAGGCCCCTCTCACGGCCCCTCGCGCCACCCTTAGCGGCCCCGTCGCCACCCCTAGCGGCCCCGTCGCCACCCTATACGGCCCCGTCGCCGCCCCTAGCGGCCGCCGCCCTTCGAGGCCCCTTCGCGGCCCCGTCGCCGCCCCTATCGGCCCCGTCGCCGCCCTTCGCGGCCCCGTCGCCGCCCTTCGCGGCCCCGTCGCCGCCCCTAGCGGCCCCGTCGCCGCCCTTCACGGCCCCGTCGCCGCCTCTAGCGGCCCCGTCGCCGCCCTTCGCGGCCCCGTCGCCGCCCCTAGCGGCCCCGTCGCCGCCCTTCGCGGCCCCGTCGCCGCCTCTAGCGGCCCCGTCGCTGCCCTTCACGGCCCCTCGCGGCCTCTTCTCGGCCCCGTCGCCGCCCTTCGTGGCCCCGTCGCCACACTCCCCGGCCCCTCCTCGGCTCCTCCGCCACCAGCGGCAGCCACCACCAGCAGCAGCCGGCAGCAGCAGACGCCACCGACACCAGCGGCGGCCACCATCAGCAGCAGCCGTCGCCGCCGAGAGCAGGAGCTGCCGATGCGCCTTGGCCCTGCCCCACCGCTTGCCGGCCCCTACCTACCAGCCCTGGTGAGAGCACTGCCAAGCCACGCCTGCTACTTTTGCCCCTAGCCTGCTGCCACTGCTGTCATGGCTACCCCTAGTGTTATTGTCTTTGATGCTGAGGGTCGGACTGTTGACTTTGAGGTCTGGGTCGATGATCTACAGCTTTTCCTACAGTGCGATAAGAAGGACGGTCTCTCCCTGTTCGATCTCACGTCTAGCGCCTCTACTACCCCTGCTGCCGATGGTGACAGCACTGTTCGCTCACACTGGGCCACACGCGATGCTGCTGCCCGTCTTGCTGTGCGTAGTCACTTGCCGTCCACTGAGCACATGCACTTTAGTCAGTACAAGAGTGCTAAGACCTTGTACGATGCTGTAGTTGCACGCTACTCTTCCCTTGCCACTGCTGCCCTTAGCCGCCTCATGCTGCCATACCTGTTTCCTGACCTCGCCGCCTTTCCCACTGTCGCTGACCTCGTTACGCACCTTCGCACTAGTGACACCCGCTACCGCGCTGCGCTTCCTGCTGAGTTCTGCGCCAAGAACCCCCCCCCCATGTACATCACCCTCTACTAAATAGTCACCCGACTTCCTGACTCCCTTCGCTCGGTCAGGGACCACTTCCTCTTTGTTTGCCCTACCACACTCACCGTTGACCTCCTCGAGGAGCGCCTCCTGGCAGCTGAGAAGAGTATAGTCGCTGTAGGAGCCTCTCGTGGTGACCCTCGCACCCCCGTCTTTGAGGGGTGCTCCCTCTCCCCCCTTTTGCCCTCTGTTGCCTCTTCTAGTGCCGTCAACTTCATTGGCACCGAGTCCGTCGGCGCTGCGTCTGCCCCTAGCGGGCGATGCCGCACCGGCAAGGGCAAGGGGGGCAAGGGCGCTGGAGGGGCTGGCGGGGGCGGTGGAGGTGGCGGTGGAGGAGGCGGAGGGAGTAGGGGTGGTGGTGGGAGTGGTGGCGGGGGTGGGGGCTTCGGTGGCGGCGGTGGCGGCGGAGGCGGCAGCGGCGGTGGCGGTGGGAGCGGAGGAGGAGGCGGTGGCGGCGGTGGCGGAGGTGGCGGCGGAGGAGGTGGAGCTAGTCGGGGTGGCTCTGCGAAGCGGGGCGGCTTTGGTGGTGGTCAGCGGCAGCAGCAGCAGCACACTCGTGAGACCCCGTCCCCCCAGCAGCTTCGTGAGTGATACGCTTCGCGTCAGCGGGGTGGAAGTACTGGTCCCTGTACCTACGTCCTGCGTACCGGCGACCGTACAGGTGAGCAGTGCGGGGGCCCGCACCCCACCCAGCGCTGCTTCGGCCGCCTGACGGACGCCTGGCGTCTCCAGTTCCCTGACGCCTCTGAGATCTCTCGCTGGGGAGAGCTGCAGAGGTCGGGGATTGCTATCTTTGATCTTGATTACGATGCTATTCTTGCTGCCATGTATGCTGTGTCTACTAGTGATGAGGGTGACTATTACCTGTGTGTTCCGCCTGACCCGAGCATTGAGGCTGCTGCTCTAGGTGCTGGTGAGGCTGCTGCTCTAGGTGCTCGTGCGTCTGTTGCCCCAGGTGCTGGTGAGTCCGCTCTCTCAGGTACCACGTTGGCTCAGGCCTCACACACCTTCACCTTTGACTCGGGTGCTTCTCGCTCCTTTCGAGACCGCACCACGCTTACGCCGCTTAGCCGGCCGGTTGCGGTCTCCCTGGCGGACCCCTCTGGGGGTCCTGTCCTTGCTCACTTCTCCACTGTCTTACCGTGTCCGGCAGCCCCCTCTGGCACCCTGTCAGGTCTCTACTTCCCCTCGTTCTCTACGAACTTGGTGAGTGGTGCTGATCTACAGGATATGGGGGTTGACCACTTCACTCCGGCGAGTTAGCGGGTGACCCACTGTACGTGTGCTCGGACGGGCCGACACTTGGCCACGTTTACCCGTCGGCCGGGGTCGAGCCTGTACACACTGACTACTGAGTCTCCTCCGGTTGCTGAGTCTGGTCAGGTAGCTGCGTTGAGTCAGTTGTTTGCTGCAGCGTCAAGGTCTGGTCCTGAGTCTACTCCCTGCTCGTGTCGTCTCTTGTCCCACCAGACTCTCCTCTGGCACCACCGCCTTGGTCACCCCTCCCTACCTCGTCTCCGAGGCATGGCCTCCCGTGTCCTTGTCTCTGGTCTCCCCCGGTCCCTCCCTCCCCTCCCGCCGGGGCCTGCCCCTACCTGCGTTCCCTGCGTCGAGGGGCGGCAGCGCGCCGCCCCTCACTCCTCCGAGTTTCCTCTGACAGAGGATCTGCTGCAGACTCTCCACATGGACGTGTGGGGCCCCGCCTACGTCCGTGGCCAAGATTGCGAGCGTTCCTTCTTGTTGGTGGTTGACGACTACTCGCGTTACACCACGGTGTTCCCCTTGCGCAGCAAGGGTGACGTCGCCGAGGTGTTGATCGACAGGATCTGCGCGGCTCGTCTCCAGCTCAGAGAGAGTTTCGGCTCAGACTTTCCTATTCTGCGTCTGCACTCTGACAGAGGCAGAGAGTTTTCCTCTGCCCTTCTGGGAGCCTTCTGTTGTGCACAGGGCATCCGCCAGACCTTCACGCTTCCGGCCTCTCCACAGCAAAGTAGGATTGCTGAGTGCCGCATTGGCATGGTCATAGACGTCGCTCGTACGTCCATGATCCATGCGGCTGCTCCCCATTTTCTGTGGCCGTTTGCAGTTCAGTACGCAATGCATCAGATCAACCTTCAGCCTCGGGTCTCTGTTACAGACTAAAGACGGAGTCTACAAATATTAGGTGCCTAAATTTCTCAAAATCGTTGGCTTAGAATTCTGGACAGAAAAGTCGAGTCCAGAAGAAACGCCGTGGAAAAAAAACACAGTGTCTAAACTTCACGAATTTCATATATGTTGTAGCTCTAGTTTGTGGCTACAAGTTTCAAGTTGAATCGTACAAAAAGGTGTAGTATTTCTTGAGTTATCAATTTTGGTGCACTACGGGGTATGCTGCCATGGAATCTTAACTCAATCACAAAGTTCTCACAAGTTCACAATTACTACACAAGAGAGTTAGAGTAGCACTAAACCAGGTGAAAGGGATGAGTAGGATGAGAGGGAAGGTCCCAAGAGAGTCTCTAACCAAGGAAACCCCATGCCACACAATTCTCTTCCCCATAGGCAACCCAACTTTGACCTTTGTCACTATCCCAACCTCCACAATCCACCTCAACCCAACTTGGCCACACTTGCCAACCTGGTTTGGTTTCTCCCAACCATTTGGCAGCAAATATAGTAGAAAAGACGAATTTCCCAACCCCCAAAAGTCTGTACCCCATATTGAGTCAACCCCACAACTTCCCATAGTCACCACAACCAAATATCAAAAGCATACGAACTTCGAAAGTTCGTAACTTTCTTGTTCGTGCTCCGATTGAAGCGATCCTTGGCTTGTCGGAAAGCTTTTGAGCAGAGGAGTCACTTCAAATATCTGCTCAAGCCAAATAACAATCACACATACTCAGAAAAACCAAACCACATCAAACACAAATTCTTGCACACGCTCACACCACGCATGCAACGCACGATCATGTGATGGGAGGCAGACGGACGTGAATGCAAGTGATAGCATCACATAACAAACCCCCCCTCTGGCTGCCTACCATCATCCCACATGCCATAGCTCAATCATGCACCCTCAATGCACACTCATCCCAGCAAGCTTCATGCCCTTCCAATGCTCAGATTCAGCCAGGCGCTTGGTGAGAATGTCAGTCGCCGGCTGATGGGTCTTCACAATCTCCAGCCGCACCTCCTTGTCCAGGAGCCTCCTCACCTAGTGCCACTTAGGCCTGATGTGTTTGGTCAGCCCATGAAGACAAGCATTCTTTGCTAGCTTCACCGCCGACTCATTGTCACAGAAAATCACAGTCGGCTCCCTCTGCCACACTCCGATCTCCTCCAACAAACGCCTCAACCACACCACCTCCTTTGCCCCATGATGCAGGGCCATGTACTCTGTCTCACACGAGGACTGCCCCACCTCATTCTGCTTCTTATTGCGCCAGCTCACTGCACCACCTCCAAACAGGCACACATAGCCTCCAATGCTGGTGCCATCCGCCTTCACAGAGTTGAAGCTAGCGTCAGTGTAGCAAGTCAAGAGCATCTCGCCC